TTGCTACTAGTCGTAATGCCCTTTGTTACTAGTAGCTTCTTGCTACTAGTAGTGTAAACTGAAAGGGACGCGGTAATTTTACCTCGAGAAACCCGTGTGCCTATACGGCATGCGGTCAGCAGGATCAACAGAGGGGTCACTCATTGACACTCCCTCTCTGTACTGTCGATCCTGCTGCCGTTAAACATCGCAAGTGCGGGTCCTTCCGTCGCCTTTGGGCCAAGCCATGACAATGCCCCAATCGTAGACTGGTCATCCATCTTGGCCACCTCATCAGCCTTCTCTTCAGTAAGTGCTCCCTTCGGGATGTCTACCGTTTGTAGTCGGGTGTTCACATAGTGCTCCTGCCTGAGGGACACCTGTTGTTCATCTTGTCGGACTGAAACTCCACAGTACTCCAGACCATTTGTGGCCTCTTCCCAAACATCGATTGGGAAGACATTTGACAAGGCCTTCTCAAGATCCTTCCGGATCGGTGTGGGAGCGGTTCCCGTCCTCGTCGACAAGCAAGAAGAGACAGCTGTCGAGATGGTGTTGTACCAAATGGAACTTGCCGTAGTGGCTTTTGACGGTGACCTCCAACAAAGTCTGAGCCAATTGTCCCACCATAGGCGTGGTGATGTAGAAAGCCCCAAACACCTCCTTCACGATCTCGATGAGGCCTCCAGGTTCCACACCTTCAAGGTCGGGCGCAGGTGGCTCGAAGTACAAGTCTCGCCTCGCCTCCACCCCATTGAGGAAGGCAGCCTCGATGTCCCCCGCGGCCAATGTCCAACCCATTTGGATGGTCAGGAAGACACGACATGTTATAGAGGTCTTTGTTGCTGTAGGTGCCTCGGTGGTGAGCTGGCCTGTCTGAAGATCAGGGTCTCGATGTCCTCCCACGCAGAGTCTTGCCTTGGCTGTTGGATCTTCACGTCTCTTGGCGCAGTTCTTGTTGCGGTAGGCGAACCTCGCACGAAGGATTCTATCCTTCTGAACCCTTTGTCTCACCCTCTGATCCTGATGGCTTTGTACTTCAGGTGTTCCTTCCATTGTTTTGCTTCCGCTTCCTTGTAGAGGTGGATCTCCTCCTTGTCAGCCTGCTTCTGGAGTGCACGGGGAATCCTCTTTTCCAAGGCCATGTAGCACAATAGTTCATTGTTATCAGGCACCGGGACCTTGGTGGGTAGCATCTCACAATACCCCTCTTGCCTCATTCTCCTTTCAGGAACTGAGCTTTCTGCCGCCCGTTTGGAACCGGTTATGTGCTCTTCTTCATCCATCTCCTCATCAGGTGCCAGGGATGGTGTGTATTCAATCTCCTCATCAACTTCTTCGGGTCGAGGTTCACCAGTGGCATCGGCGAAGACCTCCTCATTGTCCTCCTCCATGCCCTTGATCAGCTTGATGAGGTCGGACTTCACCGCCTTTGCCTGTAGGGTCGCGCCCAGCTCCTCAGATTCTGTCAGTCGAAGGTGTTCTCTGGCGCATAGTAACACCTTCCTCCACGGGACACCCAGGAGTTCTTTCCTTCCTGACCCACTATGACACTATGACCCCAGGTCCAATCCATTCACCCACATTTTGCCTTTTGCGGGGCACTCCCCCAGCCACTTTGGAGGTCCTGTAGATGTAGACGTACTGCCCCTGTGTGAAGTCTCCATGTTGTACCAGTGACGAGGAGTTCATTGATGATGAGGCAACACATGAGGCTTTTGTGGCCTTCAGGAACGCCAAGAGCAAACAGGGCCGCGCTCAAGGAGAGGAGCTTCCCTCAATCCAAGGAGGAACGGCTACAACAAGCTGAGGCCAGAAGTTACTGTTCGGTATGCCACAAGAAGGGACATTGGAATAAGGATATTGAGTAGGAAAAGCAGGTGGAGAACTTCACACCACCCATGTGGTCTACTTGGCTGAGGATGAAGGGGCCCTTGGGGAGCACATAGGGAACCACAGCCTGGGTGAGCTATGCCGTGGACACCAAAGGTGACCTGGACAACGAAACACCGTCCTTTCTGGCCATCCCAGATTCATCAACCACTTGAAGGAGGTTGGAATCCCCTACTTCATCCTGAAACAGAACGAGGTGTTCAAGTTTGGGGGAGAACGCCTGTATCCATCGAGGCAGGCATTGGTGACCTGGCGCACTATCCATGGAGCCTGGTTTGCAGTGAAGATCAGTGTGGTCGGCGCAGATGTGCCTCTGCTTTTGAGCCGGCCTGCATTGGGTGCATTGGGCATGCGCTATGACATTGCCCAGGAGATTGCTGATTTTCCAATTTACACACACGCGCGCGCTGTGTGCATGATCATGAGTACCTCAGGCCATCCTCAAGTGGCAGTGGCTAGCAGCAAGACTAAGTTGCTGTCATGGCCTGGGCGTGTTGACTGGAGTCTCACTGAGATCTGCGTTCCTTCTGCGCAAGCGGTATACATGGCCGACCTGGGTGGGCAGATCTTCATCCCCAAGAAATTGTCCTCCGGGGTCCAAGACATGTTGATTGGTGAACCATTTTCTGCCGAGGCCTTCTTGCATTGGTGGCGCTCCAAAAACTACTATCGTGATTTCTGGATTGAGACTCCCAAGTTCTTGTACCGCATCCATGTCATGCCCCGGAGATCGTCGTTCGACCCTCGCTTATGGCAAACCTAAAAGATTGAAATGAAAGAAAACTTGTTAGAGCAGCTCGCAGACTGGTGCGAAACACCATGTACCACAACCGCAATGCCTTTGACCCACACTTGCAATTGGAAGAAGCAGGCTGATGTCAAGTTCAAGTATTTGTGGGTCGGACGAAGCCGTTTTGAGAAACATCTCAAGCCTGCTTTTGATCGTGAACCCGACCTCCGAGTTTGTGACCTGCCCTCGGATGTCATCGACCCAGACTTCGCCATGGAAGATGAACAAACCCGTGTTGACAGCCACTTTGACAGCGCTGGGGGTCCCTGTCCGCCCGGAGTGGACAGTTCCCGAGCTACGCTCGCTGCTGTCAGAACAGAGGGATGCCGAGAAGACCACAAGCTCCGAACTCAAGGGGCTCAGCGGGATGAAGCTGGATCAACTCATCCAGAAGTGCAAGGACTTGAACATTCAGCTCCCTCCCAAGCCCACCAGAGGACTGCTGACGAGGATGATCCGGGACCGGGTGCCCGCAACCCCGACCGAGCTGGCACTTTCAGACCAGAACTGGTATGGGTTGCCTTGCCCTGCACATTGTGGGGCCTCAAGAACTACGCCGGAGAAGAGCTAAGCAAAAGAAGCTCATCAAGTTGGTCGTGGAGGCTGCGCACAAACAGACAAACAGATTGCTGGGGGAAACCACATCGCTTTTGAACCCTAGGAATTCTGAACTGTGGGATCAACCAGACATGAAGGACCTCCTGAATGACCCTG